TCAGCCGCTGTTGAAACTGATCAGTTTCAGCAGCGGCTGAATCTGGACGCCAGTTCCGACTTACATACAGATTCAACTTAAGAACAAACCTACAGTCCCTATCTTGTACGTAACCTGGGGACTGCCTGTATCTGTCTTTTTTATTGATGAGCAAGAACAGAGAGAGAAATGAGACTGTAGAGTCTGTAGAATAGATTTTTTTTGAACTCTCATTAAGGCTTTGGTTATTGGTTGTTTCCAATTTTGAGATTTATGTGTGGGTGGGGAATTAGGCTTGAGTCACACTAAGAACATGTAATAGTAAAGTTTAAAAGTTGGAATCAGACAACTTAATAATAATAAAATGAATGACTTGTGAAAGTGGGGTCCATCTGCCTTCTCCTGTAGTAATTAGGTATGAACATTTAACAATTAAAATTATTAAATTCTTTCTATATTGTCATCTTGCAGCTTTCTCTGACACAAAGTGATGTCAGCCATATTGGCTCCATGAAAGTAGAAGGCATTGTTCACCCAACAACTGCTGAAATAGACCTCAAGGAGGAAATAGGTAAGGCTCTGTTGGAAGTAGCAAAGGCAAATTTAGCATTGTACAGATATCTGGTCTGCTGGCTGACTACTGAAATTGAATACTCTCATTTCTGTCCTGAATACTAGTCTGGAACTGAGCAGGGATGGCAACTCCAGAAATTTGCCAAGACAAGGCTTGTTAAATATTTTATGTACAGTGCTGTAGTACATCTGGTGAAGATGCTCTGTGCTGATAAGAGCACTCCTGTTGGCATAAAGCCCCACCCTGTGAGAGTGGCATAAGCTACATTGGTAGTAGAAGCTTTTTTGTTGGCATAGTGCTAACTTATGATGCTTGAGGAGGTGGACCTAATTGGTCCTTTTTTACTGCCTTTCTTTCTCCTTTATTACTACCCTTTCAAAGTTTACGTCATTTTAGAATCCATGGGTACTAATGCAGTTAAATAATCAATTGTTGTTCAAATATTTTCCCTATGGGCGGTCCACTTCAGGTGGGCATGCACCTCTACAGCCCTTTATCAGAGATTTTCAGTTAACAGGGTCCATTTGGCCCATGCACCCTATGTCTTGTGCTGACACAGAGGCTATAAAGTACTTATAAACTGCTATTAGTTTCTTCTCAGCTGTCTTGGACTGAGATGGAGCATTGCTGTGTCCCCCTTACCTCAGCTTTATCTTTCTTAGAATACTTAGTGTAGTTAGTTGTTAATTTTAGTGTTATTATAGTTAGTATATAGTTATGTA